TCTCCCTGTTATGCACCCCTTTCTTTCTCTGAGCAACTCCCCCACTTACTGAGGGCCCAGCAGTAGTGATAAAGTTGACAATGAGTTAGGAGTTGCAGGGGGTAGAGGAGAAGCTCACAAAGTGTTTATGGGATGGCTGGAGGAGGTCTTCGGGGATCTCTCCTACCAGCGCTAGGGCCACCAACTCATAACTCTCTCTTCATAACATACACCCATTCCTTCTCCCGCAGCCACATCCCAGGAGGGACGTGCCCAGTCCCCTGCTGTAGCCTCCTGGGGTCACAGCAGCTGCCTCTGATGAATACAGAGTTGGAGGTGATAGCCTTGCCTTCAATCTTGGCCACTCCCCACCACATGACCTGGAGCTGTGACTCCCATCTCGGAACCCCAGTTGACTCATCTCCACAAGGGCTGGAGGCGCAGTTTGTGGATTGCAGTAGAGTGCTGGGCTGCATGGAGAGATGTTTTCTGTTTTGCTTGACTGGGTGCTGCTCCCCAGCCTCAGTTCCTTTGCCTTCTTCTGCCCTGGTGATAGGGATGGATTTAGGATTCCATGATTAGGATTCCCTGTGCAAACCCTTCCCCAGTGCCTCAGTGCCTCCCCATACCCAGCCCAGGAGGCAAACCATGATGGGCAGCTTGGGTGTGCTGAGGTCGGCTGACTAGGAAATGACTCGATCACATGGATTTTCCTAGAAAGAGCCAACTGAGAACACCAGGACAGGAGACTCCTGTCCTGGCTGGAAGGAGGTGGTCCCAGGCTACCAGAGGCTCAGAGCTCTGGCTTATAGGAACAAACAGCCATTGAGTCTGGCCCTTAGCCTGAGAAGAACAAGGAGTCACCCACTGATGTGGGCCTGGCTAGGTGTTTCAGCCCTGCTTTCTGATCGAAGGCTCATAGCTCCTTCAAGGGGCAGCACTGGCTGTCCACTGTTTTATTACTCATGCTCAGGAGGGCCCAGCCTGGCCAACGGGGATCAGGACAAACTCTGGAAGGAGGAGGGAAGAGCACCCACCACCATCACCCAGTGTGGGCCCTTACTCTCAGCACTCTGCAGCCCATAGCCCACCAGCCCACTCACCACTCCCAGGTGCTCCTCCTATTCTGTGCTGTGGCTGTATCCCCTTGCACCTGCCCTGGCCATGCTGTCTCTCCGCCACCAGGGGGGTTCCTTCCCTATACCTTCCTGACACAGCCCACGTCGGAGTGTACATCTTCATTGGCATAGTGTGCTGTTCCTGGCTGCATCTGGTTGGTCTATGGCATAGCCCATGTATCCTCCAGGGCAGGGATAAGCCAAGAAGCTCACCCAGTGTCTGCTAAAAGAAGTTCCAGGGGCAGCTGGGGTCGAGGGCACACCTCCTGAAGAGGTGAGAGGCCTCAGACGAGGATTCCAAGGACCTGGGAGAGCAGGGAGGGCTCCTAGAAGGGAAAGGGAGGTGTCACAGTATGAGCCAAGGCTGGAGGTGGAAGTTGAGCCTGGGGTCTTCTAGGACCTGGGTAAAAGGGAGAAGGCCTTGACTGCAGGTGATGGCTATGAGCCAGTTGTCTCTCTCAAAAGCTCCATGAGGTGTGGGATTAGGGGTACAGGGACAAGAGCACAGGGGCCAAGCTCTAAGTCCCGTTGTGTATATGTGGGTGGGAGGGACATGCTGGATGGGAGGAAAGACAGGTGGCATGTAGAGGATTTTGACAATAAACATATGGTGGTATGGTGGATGGAGGATGGAGCCGAGGCACCATGGTTGTGCTGCGTGCCCCTGGGGCTAGAACCAGGAGGTCTGTGGAGCCAGCAAGTACCTCTGGAGGCCTGGATCCAATCAAGGGGAGGCCCCCAGTGGGCCCTGGGCCTCAGTAGGCATTGGCCGAAGCACTGTGGCTTGAGGATTCAGATTCTCTGCAGTTCAGACTCCTAATTTCTTTGTGCCTCAGTTTCTCTGTATGTAAGATAATGACTTCATTGGGTCATCTCTCCTTAGTCCAGGAGAGCAGCAGCATCTTTGCCTGATTCATCTCTGCCTCCGTGAGCCTGATCTGAGGTTTCCAAAGGGAAAATTGAGCCCTGGCCCCTGATGAGAAATAACTCAGCCCTCCTCTCTATTCTGCAATACCTCTGCCTCTCCCTCCCTCCCACAGTAAGCCCAAGGATCCTGTTCTACTTGGCTGGCCCCTCTTTCCTCCATCATCTCTCTCACTCTGTCCTGGCTCCTTCCTATTGGCTTTAAACGCAGCCATCCTATCTCTGATGTGGCTCCATCCTATTTCTCCTCCTCCATACACCCATAACTCCTCAGGCCATGGTTATCCAGTCCTGCTGTCTCCACAGCAGCCAGGCCAGGGTGGGCTGACCTGGGATGAGGGAGGGAGGAGCCGGGGGAGGGAATCAGGCTGATATCCAAAGGTGCCTGAGGCTAGGAGTGGCTTGGCTCCAGGGGCAAAGGCGGTGACCAAGGGATCTCTAGGGGACCTGCCTCCTCCTGGCAACCTGGCACCCACACTCTCGTCCTATAAACTGCCTAGATTCCCCAGCTCTCCCTCAATTCTTAGACCTCCATACCCTTGCCCCCAGTGCCATCTGCCTGACAAACCTCTCTCTTCCTGACAAACCGCTACTCCTTTCTCAATGTCCTGTGCATCACCTCCTGTGGGAAGCACCTCTGATGAGATCCACAGCCGTCTGTCCATCGCTTTGTCTGCAGTAACCCCCACCACACTGTGCTGGGCCAACTGGACAGGCCAAGAGGTCCCCAGAAGCCTGACTCATTGTCTCCCCAACACTGCCCCAGCCTGGGCAAGCCATGAAGGGTCCTCATGGTGTTCGTTGAACTGAGTCAAACGCAGATTTGAGGCCATGGTGGGGAAGCAGAGCCGCTTCCTGGAGTAAGAAGGTTTACATGGTGGCATGAAGTGGGTGATGCCTTGCTGAGTTCTCTTCTTAGGCCCTTGCCTTCCTGGGAATTTCTCTTTGCTTTATTTTCCTGTATTTCCAAGTTTTTCAGTTAAAGAGCATATATGCTTTCTCATATTTCTTTCTCAATGAAAAGTTATAATTTTCAAAAATCAAAGTAAAATTCCTGGTTGAGGTAGTCTACTTTTCTGCTGAAGAGGCACCTTGAATTTGGGAAGGAGGGAACTTTGGCTTTCTGTTGGCCATCCTTGAATTTACTGTGGGGCTTTGCTGCCTCCTGGTGGCAACTGGACTTATAGACTTGATACTAGGCCTATTTGTGCAGGTTGGTAGAAGGGGATGTATGTGTTTGGGCGGGGTGGGGCGGGGGTAGGTTATAAAACTGACAGACCTGCAAGGGAGAGGTAAGCACCCCAGGGCCTTCCATTGGGTCAGGTGATCATCAGCCATCTCCCTGCAGGTGGTTGAGTTTGATGTAGAAATGCCCCAATTTGGTTGGGGACTGAGCACCACTTGGTTCTGGGCCTCAGCCCAGGGATGTGCTTGGGCCTGGTTTTGCCAGCCCCAGGCAGGGTCTGGGGTTTGGAGTCAAGGGTGAGCCTGAGTGGGCCAGGTCCATGTTCATCTCAGTCTAACCTGGAGCAGGCTGGAGTATTCTATAGGAAGGGCAATGATGAGCCCCCAGAACATCTGAAAAGGCCCATCCTACTCTCAAGTGTGTCACCTCCACTGTCACCACCACCACTCCTACCTTGGGTTCTGGCTATGCTATTCTCCCTCTCCCACTCCCTCTGATCTCCCCACATCAGGTCTGTGTCTGGCCTGACCACTGACCCTCACCTCCTGTAGTGATCGGCCACTAACACAGGGCTTAGTCCTGAGGAGGGAGAGGAAAGAGGCTGAGGCGGAGCTGTGGGCCCCCTACAAAATTCACTCCTACTACAGGTCTTCCCTTGTTCCATGAATGCTTTCAGCCCATTTCAGTCTCCGGATGGTTACACTGTGTTGCTCCCTCTGTCTAGAGCTCTATCCTCTGTGATTGCCACACGGCTGACACTTTCTTGTCATTCAGGTTTAAACCAATATGTCACCTCCTTCCCAGAAGATTCAGTCTAAAGCACCTTCCTTGGACCTCTTGCACCTGTTTAGTTCACTGCCAGATCCCCAGCATCCAATACAGGGCCTGGTATATGGGTGCTCAGCCACTGTTTGCTGAGTGTATGAATTTCAAGTTTTGGGAGGAAAGTAGTGCCGTCCGTCTTGGAGTAGTGTGGACAACTCAGTCAGAGAGCATTTGAGTTGGTCTCTGAAGCAGGAATTCACCATGCCGAGTCGGGATCAGAGCATGTGAGATGAGATGACAGTATGGGTAAAGGTTTAGAGGTAGGAAACAGGTGGTTCATATAGGAAGCCACTATGCTTCTGTTGGCTGGAGCATTGAGGAAATCCATAGCTGTGAGAGTAAGGAAAGAGAAGCACAGGTGGAGGAAGGCCTTTATCCTATCCTAAGGATATGGGCAAGGTCCACAGATCCTGAGGCCTGGAACATTGAGTATCTGACTAGCCTGAGGGGCGAGGGGTGAGGAGGTGGGAGGAGGTGGGAGAGGGCTGCTAAATTATCAGGCAAGAAACTTATTAAGACCTGAGTCACACTGAGACACTCACAACAAAGCAGTTGTTCAGAGTATGGTTTATTTTCACAGATGCATAGAAACTGGTTCAAAATCTGAGATACAGATAAAGATGCCCTTGAATCCCCCTCTTGACTCTTATTCAGAAGGAACAGGACATGGCTCCTTTGCTAAAATAAATACACTTCACATTGCATAAGGTAATAAATAAATACATACATAAATAAATAATCTTGATAGAATAAAACCGAGAAGATAATCGCAAAAGGCTAAATGGGGCTGCACATTTCAGAAATTAATAATTAACAATTCCTCTGACTCCCCAGAAGAAAACAAAACCCTTCCAGTCCCGGACTGTGTGAGAGACACCCCAGAGTCTTCACGTGTTCTGCTGCTCCCGAGGCCCCAAGGCCCTGTGGTGAGAAGGCCTGAGGGGTAGCTGGACATGGAACCAAAAATTCTAGGACTTCTTGAGGTAGTTCTGAAGGAAGTTCAGATATTTAGTCATTTTCCTCCAGAAATCGTCCCAGTTACCTTTCTTGATATAGATTGGCTCTTCCTGTAAAGAAACCAGGAAAGTGGTGTTAGCTGAGGCTGGGGTGGAAGACAGATGACAGGCTGGGGGTCAGGTTATGGCTGGTAGCACCACCTGCAGGGCCATCTTAGGGGGTAGCTTACCGTGGTCATGGGGGCGGACGAGATTGTCTCTTTGAGTTTCTGTGGGAAGAGACCAAGGCAGACAGTCAGAGGAAAGGAGCGGGCCCTGCTACCCTCCTCCCCAGAGGGAGGGCAGGGCCAAGGCATGGATCCCAAAACCCCTCAGACAGCTTTACAGACCTCAAGAATTTTCCCAATTCTCATTCCTTTATCCTGCAAATTCTTGGCAGCTTCCAGGAAGGTATCCAGGTTTAGCATCAGAAAGGCCTCATTCTAAGGGGACAAAGAATACATGTAAGAGGGGGAAATTAGAGAGTACCCTTCCCATGGCCTGCTTGAAGTCATCCCCACAGCTTTCTAAGACTTCTTTCAAGGACATCCTTGGACAGTCCCCTCCTCATCTCCTTGCCCAGGTTATCCCCTCAAAGGGCACTGGCATAGAGGTGAGAGCATACTATAGCAAAGCATACTTCCCTCCGCCAGAGCCTCTAGAGGGCCTAGGTGGACCTCTCTGCACTTAGGGAAACAGCATTTTTCAAAAGGAGCTCTACAAAGGGTGGAGGGCTGGCCAAGGGAAATATTTGCAGCCCAGAGGCCAGATAACAGGGTTAAAGCCTTGACTGAGTTAAGGGGTCTTAGGAATCAGGAAGACAATCGCAGAGACTCCAGCACGGAAGTGGATGCAGCATGTGAACTGCACGTGCCTAAAAGGGGAAACACAAACGGCCAATAAACTCAGCAGAGATTCAGCCTCCTGTTTGACCCAAGAAATGCACGCAAGTGAGATAATCACTAAAGCCAACTGCAGCTAGAAAAATAACTATAAATGATAGTGCCCAGGGCTGGTGAGAGCAGAAACATAACTCAGTTTTTAAGGGAAAGGAAGGAAGCAGGCAAGTTCACAGGGGAATGTTAGTCTGCCAGTCCAGAGGCTGCTCCCTGTCCCCCAAAAATGAGCTTAAAGCCTTTGGTATTGTTCACCTAGAGCTGCCTTTTCATTTTTTAATTAAAAACAAACAAAAAACAAAAAACCATTTCATATTATAGCTATGACTGGGAAATACAATGAACACCTGTTAAGCACCACACTGACCTGGGAACTTTATGCACATTGTGCCATTTAATTCTCATAATAACCCCACTGAAATAGGTGCTTTAACCCTATTTACAGATATAAAAACTGAGGCTAGGCAAAGTGGCATGACATGTCTGAGGTATGCCAGGCAGGGGGTGGATTGGGACCCAGATGTGCCCAGGTACGGCGCTGAGCTTACGTTCAGGATGTATATCTCATTTACGTCCAACGGTTCCTGTAAAGGAAGAGAGAGAGAAAGCCCATGAGTCCTGCTGGACTGTGCCACCTGCTTGCCTGTCCCCACCCTGTGCCAACCTTGTCCCAGCTACTCACTTGTGGAGGCAAAGGCGGTTTGTTCAGGATGCTCTCAATTTCCCTCATCATCATGTTGACGTATTCCTTGGTCGAGCTCGTCGGCAAGGGCAGCCCCTGTGCTTGAGAGGCATAGGCTGTGAGCAGGAGCAGGAGAAGGTGCAGGATGGGGAGGCTGCTCATCTTTGGGCTGGTAGGATGCATTCTATGTTGTCCTGGTCCTTCGTGGTATTCTGAAGTGTCCGAGACAGCCTCCTTCCTTTTATGCACAGCGGCAGAGTGCCCACAAATGAGGCAAGGGGGAGGCGGGCATCGGAAGAATCTTTATCTAACATGGAACCTCCACAGCAAACCACAGACTTATTCATCACTTTCTAGTACTAGAGATCAGTGAAACTTGGGAAGAAATTACTCAAAGGGTATCTCCTTGTTTTGCCAAGGTGGGTAAGAGATGGGCTAGCCACTGGGCGGAGTTCGGGTAGGTGAGAGGACCTCTCTTACAAGTGAGGGACTGCCTAACTCTGAGCATCCTTGAGCCTCCTGCTCAGTGGGACCTGGAAAGCCCTGACCTGCTGCCCACCCTGACTGGCACAGCCTACTCCTGTGTGGGTGGCCAGGTGAAGGCCCACTGGAATAGACGAGTTTGTCCAGCAGCCTGTCACACAGCTAACCATCCATGTGTGAGCTCATCCACTAAGAAGCACACCTTTTGACACCCCTCCCAAAACTGAGTTACTGGGGTTAAAGCCCCCATTGGTTTGCCTCATGGGGTTTGGGCAGCTTCTCCTTGACACTTTCTGTTCCTGGATGGAACCCAGGCACCAGATGTCCATTCTTTTAAAGGTCTGTTAGCACAGCCCAACTCTGTCCTGTGTTGTGGAATCTTATCCCCTGCTGGATGCCTGGCTCCAGGTGCTGGGCAGTCCCTCTGGTGGCACAGAGGAGCTGGGCTCAGTGACCTGAGGATAGGGATCCTTGAAGAAGCTATCACTGGGAGGTAGGGCTAGGGGGCTGGCCTGAGGAGGTTTAGATGGCGGGATTGGCAAGGTCTGAGGGGTGAAGGAAGGGAAGAGAGGAAGGCAACCCCCTGGTTTTAGGCTTGTGTTGGGGGCCAATTTTGGGCCAGTGTTGCAGGGGTCTGGATCCCAGTCTTTGCTGGAGCCTGGATTTGGTAGATGCAGGCCCAGTGGGAAGGGTTTGCAGAGCAAGGAAGGGGCAGAGACTGACCCTGGGGAAGGCCATAAAGGACCAGGAAAGCAGCAGCCAGATTGGAAGCAGAAAAACCAGGCAGGTGGGGGCTCAGAGGGTAGCTCCTGAAGGAAGAGGCAGACCATTGCCCCGTGGGGCTGTCAGGCCCTGACACTGGCCCAGGACAGGAGTTTTGGTGAAGGTGTGAGTGTGATGGGGGCGTGGGAAGAGTTCTTTGAATTGACTGGGACTGGGTAAGGGGAAGAAGAGAGGCAGGATGGAAAAGCCAGGGTCGGAGTGCATTGTGACGCACTCAGTGTGGGGAGGTGGGGCAGGTTATGCTGAGGCAGGGGAATTTGGGTGTTTCAGACTTCTGAGCAGGAGCTGATCTGGTAAGACAAGGACCAGGATGTGGCTGCAGAGGAGGCAGGTGAAGAAGCTGTGACCCAGGGTATTGCTGTGAGAATAATGGCCTGTAGCCAAACACGTGGCTCCTGGCTCAGCTGTGGGCCAGGCCCTGGGCTGGGAGGAGCCTGGGATCTGGGCCCAGACCATCTTCAAAAAGCATGTAGAGTATCTCAAAGGCACACATGAAATGAGGCCACATATGGGGAGCCTTAGGACTGGGGACCCGCTAGGCACAATTTATTCAACCAACTTTTATTTAGCGCTTGCTGGGTGCAGGCACTGTGAATGAAACAGATATGTCCTTCTGCTTAAGAATCTCACAGTCTTATGGGGAGGAACAGACTGAAAGCCTTGCTACTCTCAACTGGGACTTCATTCCTACAGTTTTAGCTTTACCTTGAAGATAATTACAAGTGCAGACCCTCAGGCTTTAACCCAGGCTTTCTGAATCGAAAATTGCATTTTGACAAGATCATCAGGCAATTCATGTGATATTTAAGATGTTCTGATTTAAACACTGAGCTTGGATATGGGTAGGGGTCTGGGCTCTAGAGACCCAGGGCTTTTATTTATTTATTTATCTACATCTATCTATCTATCTATCTATCTATCTATCTATCTATTTATTTATTTATTTATTATCTTAAAAAAATTTAATTAAGTTTATTGAGGTAACATTAGTTAACAAATTATATAATCTTCAGGTATACATTATCATTTGATATCTGTATATCCTGTTGTGTGTTTACCACCCAAAGTCCAGTTTCCTTCAGCTACCATATATTTGAGCCCCTTTACTCACTTAATCTCCCCCTAAACCCTATATTTGACCCCCTTTACCCCGTCTACTTCCCCCTTCCTTCCTCACCCCACTAGTAACCACTAGCCTATAGTCCATGTCCATGAATCTCTGTTTGTTTGTCCTGCTCATTTGTTGCTTTTAGGTTTATATCTCATATATAAGTGATATCATGTGATTTTTAACCTTTTCTGTCTGGCTTATTTCGCTTAGCATGATTATTTCAAGGTCCATCCATGTTGTTGCAAATGGCAGTATTTCATCTCTTCTTATGGCTGAGTAATATTCCATTGTATGTATGTACCACAG